GAGCCAGCGTATCACCAAAGTAGCTGAGGCGGCCGGCCTACTACCAAACGGCCAAATGGGTAACCGCGCTGGGAGGTCCACCGAACTGGCAATACGTATAGTTGAGGACGTGGTCTATACGGCGTGGAGACGCGGGGGCATCGCCTCGCTGCTACAGCTAGACATCAAGGGGGCATTCGATACGGTCAATTACAGACGGCTGATTTCCATATTAGCCCGGAAAGGCTACCCGGAGTGGGTTCAGGAGTGGGTACGCAGCTTCGTGGAGGATAGGACGGTACGCCTCCGGTTCGATGGCAAGAAGTCAGCGCCAATCCCCCTACGAGCTGGCGTCCCCCAGGGGTCACCGCTATCCCCGATACTGTTTATATTATACATTTCAACGCTGTACGAGGAGCTAGCGGAGCAGCACCCACTACTTTTAGTAGTCGGGTTCGCGGACGACACGAACCTGCTAAGCGTCGGCACCGATCCAGACACGACCTGCCGCCGGTTGGAGGGCGCATGGGCTACGTGTCAGCGGTGGGCAGTGAGGCACGGGATGGAGTTCGCTCCTGACAAGAGTGAGCTAATGCACTTTACTAGGGCCCGAGAGCCCTTGCCGCAAAGTATTCGCCTTGGGGACGCCACAGTGTCGCCGGTAGTCTCAGCGAGGTTCCTAGGAGTCTGGTTCGACCGCAAACTGACGTGGCACGCCCATGTTGAGCGTGTTAAAATAAAAATGGCAACTCAAAAGCTAGCCCTGACAAAGCTAGTCAATATGTCGTGGGGCTGCGATCTTATACGGGCGAGGCTGTTATATACGGTGGTTATCCGTAACGCGATCGCCTTCGGGGCGACTGCGTGGCATACTATAAGTGAGGAACCGGCAGGGCCAGCTAAGAGCCTGATGGGGATACAGAACGAGTGCCTCCGGGTAGTCTGTGGCGCCCACAAAGCGACGCCGGTTCGCCACCTGGAAGCAGAAGCAGCAATCCCGCCACTAGACCTCTATCTTAGTGCCCGGGCTGCTAAGTTTGAAGAACGGCTACGGCTTAGCGGGAAGAGAAATCTGCTTCGCAGCGCGAGCGCTAAAGCGTCACATATACTCCGGCAGGATAGGCCGGCGAAGAGGAAGCAGGCATCGCAGCTACTCCGACCGGCAGGGTACACTATGGAGAAGGAGGCCCGGGGCTCCGAGTGGATGAGTGAGGAAAAGGATGTCCCGGCTGCCCTCCTCGGCCACTGGAGGAAGAGATGGCTCACCGGAGCAGAGCATCACGATCGCCAGCGACGCGCTATCGCTGAGGAACCGGAGGGCCCTTCGATGCAGATACCGAAAGGGGGCAGGTATTTCGGCCTGAACCGACTGGAGGCGTCTACGCTGTGCCAGATCAGGACGGAAAAAATAGGACTAGCAGCCTTCTTATTCAAGACAGGGGCTTTTGGCGTGTACTCGCCGCTATGCCGCTGTGGCGACGTCCCTGAGACGTCAGAGCACGTAATCCTCTTTTGCGGGCTGTTGGAAGGACCGAGGGAACGATTACGGGCCGCTATCGCACCACGGCCACTACACTCTCGCAGAGACCTCGCAACGGCATCAGGAGAACCAGTAGTTAGTGAGACTATTGTAAGGTGGCTGCTAGGGACGGGTCGGACAGCTTCAAGGCCCAGATAGCATCGATCTTCTCAGGGGGGACTTTGTTGGTAGGTTGAGAACCAACATAGTATGGTAGTGAACGCAACGCAGTCGCCAATAGGGCGAACCGACGACGCAGCGTATGTATTTAGTCCAGCCATTAGGGCACGGTTTGACATACGGGAGTACTAGTAGAGGTACCGGGGGCTTCGAGCCTACGGCGTATTTAATAATAATAATAATATATAGTACCTATCTAGTACGAAAAACTTTATAATCGAATACGGAAGGTCCTGCGGTAAGATTCTAGAAGGACCTAAGTGTTAGGATAGCCCCTAGCCCCGTAACCTCGTAGTATTAAGTAATTCGTCCTTTAGCGATTATACCAACTGGAAGTCTACTATAGGATACATTATTAAGCTCTTTATCAGACCGGTAGCTTAGCCATCTAGTAAATAAGATACGGTAGTTACCTCAAGTACGGAGGCCGAGCTTAAGGGGTTAGCGGCTACCTTTAAAGAAGCTATAGCCCTTAAGAGATTACTTTACTAAGTAAGCATCGATCTACATAAAGAGTTAACGATCAAGGCCGTTAAAAATAAATAGACTAGTTAGTCGGCTTATTATGGAAGAAACGGCTAAATTACAGACGAAGCTAAGGTATATCGATATTTATAATACTAGAAATATCGGAGAGGCACTATAGACTTAACTTACTAGAAGTTAGCCGACGTAGTCGCCGATGGATTCACTAAGGCCTTAAGGCCCTAGCAGTACTAACGATTCCTTTAGATACTGAATCTAGTGCCGTCGCCACCGGAGATACGGCCAGTAAAGGGGAGGGGACGATCACTCACGGCGGGGTGGGGGAAGGTCGACTGGAGACGGGCCCGGCGGCGCTCCTGCCACTCGTAGTATCGGTTCTCGTTTTCGGTCTGGAATTACAAAAGTCAGAAGGGGATTGAGCAGATACTCCCGGGAAAAGCTTGCGGTACGGTGTTCTGAGAGCCCACCCGGCCGAAGTGGCTGCGTAGGGACTTTTCGCAGGTGAGGAAGGCCTCCACCAGGCGATAGCACGCCACAACAACGGCGATCCGAGGACAACGGGTATGAACAAAAGAAGCGTCGTCGCCACCTGGGGCGCCACCCCCATCCAACAGAGAAAAGAAGGAGTGGGCTAGGATCCAGCTACGCTACTGTTACAGCTACGACCCTCTGATCACTTGAATAATAAAGAAGAGACACCATCAATTAGTCCTAGATACAATCCTTTTGAAATTATTTCCCGACTTTCCCTCTTATTTTGCCCTTTCTCCTAAATTATATAGCAGAAGTACGGGTTAAAGGAGAAACAGCAAATTACCTTCTAAACCTTGAAAACTCCTTTTCGTATATGGCCGGCACACAAGGTGCGGCCCTAAGGGGTGTGTTAGACCTTCAAGGCTACTACACCAAGACTGCCAATCTCGGAAGGATATATGGCCACGTACCGTACGTTATGGGCCAACATGACCACCACCTATCGAACCACATAAGTCCTGCCTGTAGGACAGGCATCGTTCATTCCTATCTATATAAGGCTCTAAAGGCCACCGTTCACTTGCGGGACTCTCCAGAGATCATGACACTTTCAATACAGGACCATTCGCCCACAATCCAATACCAAGCTACGGTGCTTACTTACCTCTGCTCTACATCAATACAATAAACTACACTTAAGCCTTATACTAAGAATATACCTTGCATTGGACTTTTCACATTTGTATTGATCCTGCTTTCAATCAACAGCGGCTTCAACTACTATCCGACAGGTAACTCGAAAAAGAAGCCTAGTCCTTCGCCTTACCCCTAATAGATACTAGGCCACATCAAGTACTACCAGAGCTGTCCAAGCTACACGGTAGAGAAAACTTTGACGAATAGTTATTCGAGGCTAGGGGCAAGATCGCCGTCGACGGCGCGGCCATAGGCAGTAAGGAAGCCCAATTCCACTACCTATACGCCAGCGCGGACAAGTACGTTAAGCCGAAGCTGTTGCCCTACGCACGCCGTGCATAGCAGACCGACAACTACGGTATCAACGAGTATATTAAGCACCTTAGAACTATTCAATGACCCTAACAAGGTGAAAAAGGCTGGTCAACGCCTAACCAAGATACGACAGGGCGCATCCACCCCCGCGGTATACCTACCCTCCTTCGACGAAGTCCTCTACCAAGCCGAAGCTGACGTATAACCAGATGCCGCAAAGATTATCCTATTAGCCGCCTCCTAAAATACAGCTAAACAAGCCAAGCTAGTAGGCAAGGAAAAGCCGGTAAGATACGACGAGTTTTGCAATTTTCTTCGGTATCAGGAGACAGCATTTGTTACCGAAGCCGTAGGTGTGACCGCTAGCGACCATATAGACATCGATATGAATACTCCGATAGCGAGCAAGTGACAGCGAAAGCGATGGTTTGGTGAGAGGAAGTACAGCCAGCATAGCTCTCCAGACCATTTCCAGAGCTACCACAGCCGAAGTAACGACACGAAGAAAGTGCGGTTCCATCACATACGCACCGCGGGAGGAGCAAATCACCGGCTATAGATCAGTGCAGTATATTTAAACCTGTTAATAGCCAGCCGCGAATACCGCCCCTTCCCCAGTGTAGGACCACTGTAACAGGTAATAGACACTCTACGGAGCGCGGCAGTAGCCTAGGAGGATAGCAAAGAGGGTGATACCATAGGGCTAGGCCCCTATAGGTCCATATAGGCCTTGAGAGCCCATATCCTATACATAAATACCGCAGCCCAAGCTACGGTACTTACTTACCTCTGCTCTGTATCAATACAACAATCTACACTTGAGCCTTGCACTGTGCCCCTCACACGTGCGTTATATATATCAATTACAGTATAAACCATTATAGATATTCTAATCGCCCTTGAAACCTAGGCCGTAGTCTGCTATGTGTATATGAAGGCGAGTGATCAATAGCTAATTAAGTTCTTGTACTATATGATTGGCTCTTAGCCGCCTTAAAAATTAATATGCCGTGTTAGGTCGATGTTGCCAAGGACCCTTCGCAGCTGGCCAACCACTTTTTAGCTCCTGATGCCCATGCAAGGCAGATCCTTCGGCAATGTACGTCATATAAGACCCCACTGCAGTATTGTCACGGAACAAGGCATTGATGAAGGCTTAAGTTTCATGACAGCGCAGGATGGCGATCATCTTTTCTCTCAAAATTGTCGAAAACCCTCGACTCTAACAAGCTAAATTTTATCCCAGACATCAAGCAACGCCAGAGTTGAGGCCGAAGCCCCTACGTGTCTCAAGCTTCGCTCAGCAAAGCGACACTCAAGATTCGTCTTGTACTTTCAGACCTCCACAGCAATGGCCGAACCCGGGCCAAAGGAGGAGGGGCTCGTTGAGAATGTCAAGAAGGGAAAAATCGGTGCCAAAGACAAGGTATAACTTACCTGCATAGACAATGCCAGCCAGATTCCGGGCAATGCCTGCTAATCCGACCGCGCTAGCTCATGAAAGACCTCACGGCTAAACTTGAAGAGTCCAAGAATCTGGAAGAAAAATCTCTAGACCTCCGTAAGAAGGCCGAGGAACTGGAAAAGGAACATCCCGAAGAGGCGGAGAAGATGCGGGCCGAAGCCGGGGAACTGGAGCAGAAGGCTAAGAAGCTGATCCGCATGGCCCAGCGCATGCAAAGCGGTGTCTTCCAGGGTGGTGCGGCCGGTGCGGGCATCGGTGCTGGTGTAGCTGGTGGACTCGGCACTCTCGTGGGGTCCATCGTCGGTGGCGTTACCGCCATACCCACCACTGCCGTCGGCTTGCTGGTCGGGGCCGGCACCGGCGCCATTCACGGTCCTTGGGTCAAACTCGTCGATGATACCGTCAAGGAAGAGGAGGCTGAAGCACAAAAAGGCGGAGAGAAGTCCGATGCCGAATGACCAGTCGCCGGAACCGTATGATTGCATGAGGTGGCTATGGATCGTCTAATTAGTATGTAGGATACGTATACAATGTATTGGACATATTACTCTTATATCACATACGGCTGACTAGTGTGTCTATGTTGTGTATGTCCTACCTCCTCCTAGTACTGTCAGTGTCGTTGTGTATTAAGACTCGATCTACTGTGATATTCTAGGACGGATTTAGCTCTCCTGATCGTAGCCTGTGTTAGATCGATCTCGACTGTATGATAATCACCTGGAGGGCAAAAAGAGCCACGCCGTTCCCAAGCCCGCACAATATGAGGTTAGTAAAATAGAAGATCATTATCGCCACCGCTAGTATTACTCACAATATAAAAAGTATACAGAGGACTAGACCGGATTTGTAGCTATTTCACGGACTATATTGACGTTCACAGTGGTTACTTACATCATTTCCTTGTACTGCAAGCTGCGTTTCAAGTTGAAACGAGTCTGAGTTGATGGATCCGATGCACAAAAAGGTGCTGCTCTCCATACGTCTTCCTAGGAGCAAGAGTACGACTACAAAGGGGGCCAAGATAGAAAGACAATTTACTGTCAATGAAATCTTCTTCCTGTATGGTTGTGTTGTCAAGCGTTGTATATTTCAAGGCTAACGTGATTCAGACTGCTATAATCATTTTGAGGACTCATAAGTGTCTAAGATAAAGGCACAAAAATTCCGCGTAGCTATGAGCAGCTACGATGCGCAGTATAACACTAGAAAAGGCATGACTATATACGTCGCGGATATGTGTATATGCGCTGCTATTTACAACGTCTTGAGGATGGTGGATCTGTATTGCCAGCGGTAGACGGATCAGAAAGATCAACATCTCCATGTGTACACGCGTGGATGTGTTGGGGACTAGCACTACTTTACGAGAAAGTCTGGGAGTGACCGACTACGTGACACGGTAGACGAGACTTCGATCATATTGGCCACACGCAAGAAATCGGTGCGATTGGCCATGGCTGTGCGGATATGTAGTAGTAGGGTAAGGAAAAGACAGACAGGGACAGGGCATATGTGGAGGAAGCGACGTACCGATGCTCTGTTATATGGAAGTCGGATCGATTAGTTTGAAAAGTTCCAATCAAATTAGAACTGGTATAATTCACTGGCTCGTCTACGATAACTAGTATTTAATACAATTATCGTACTATCGCAGGACGGGCGACCGTCGATAGCCTGGGTCCTGGTGGGACCTAGTCCAAAAGGTCCCGAGCATTGTATCATGACGTTTCCTTTCATCCATCAACTCTCACTTGAGGCCACCGAAAGGGCCACCGCCTAGGTAATATCCTACCAGTATGAGCCCAAATGACGACACCCATTACCTTTACGCATACCCCTGAGCTTGTAGCCGGGCGCCCTCATACCCTCAGACACAAGGCCAGGTCGCAGAGGCAACCCCTACACGTCGTATGCCCTTGTAAAAGCTGGTAGGCTCAGGTTCTCATCAGTATTGAAATGAATCAAACTGGGCAAATGTCCGTGCATAAGTTGACCCCACCAAGTGCCTCCTATTCCCTTCTCCCCATACTCTTGCCATCCTACCAACGTCTATCACCCTCAAAAGTGTCGCCCTCTGCGAGGAATATGTGGTTCGCTTACCATGCAATATCATTCACTAGTTGGCCTTTGGCCGGGTATACGCCCATAACTCATCAATAATCTGAAAAACTGCCGTCACATCTCGCATGACGGTTTCGTCAAGTTGGTGGCCAGACTTTTGTTGCATTTTGTCCGGATGCCATCGAACCCTCTCCTCCTTCAACTTGGCCAGAAACGGAGCCTCGCCAATTTCCTTGGGGTCCAAACAATGGATGAAGAAGTCTCTGACATCTTCACCGTTGATGTCCTCCCTGCGCCGAGTTTTGACAGGCCAATTCATGCTCGCGGAAGTCCCATCCCAGTTGGACCAAGTCTTAACATAATCATTCCATCTTGTCTGCCAGCTCTTCCGCGACCGTCTTGCCTCGCCCCTGCGCAGGCTCTCCTCCATATCCCTGTGCAATCTGGCATCGTCATCTTCCGTGTCTCTGGTGCGCCGATGGGATTCTCGTTGCGTCTTTTCCTCGTCCTTGCGGGCCCGCTCCTCGAGTAGCCCTTGGTGTGTTTTCTCCCACATCTTACACCGTACGTACGCTGCATACTCGTCGTCCGTCATTTTCTCCAACTCGCCGCTAGGACCGGGCTTTGCGTTGGAGTAGACATGAAGAGGCTGGCCATATACGCCCTGCCAGTATGCAGCACCCTCGTCATCCGCCATGGCATCGAAGAGTGATTCACGAAAAGCAGCATCGGGATCCAAAGGCGGAGGCTCATAGGGATTAGGTGGGGTTGAGGAGCGAGAGTGTCGCCGCTTGTGCCGATGACGATGGTGGCATCTCCTACGATGATGGCGGTGGGAAGACGGTTCAGGTTCGCGTTCGGCCTTATCATCGACGTCATCTCCATATCCATGTCTATTGCGATGTCGATGGGAATGGTGAGAGCAGGAGCATTTAGACTTGAAGCGGAATCTGGAAGATTTGCGCCTCGCAGACTTGCCTGCCTCGTCGGTTGGGACTCTTGGCTCCTTACCGCAAACGTCATCTACGCTTGAGTGCGGCTGTGTCCCCTTCGGATTGATGGATGAGAGAACATGGCGCCGCCTCGGCGACAACGGTTGGTTTGTCATTGTATCCGTTGTATGATCATTGCTTGCTGAGAGTGCGCATGTGGAGTTTTGAAGTCTGGCAATCGCAGGACCCTTGAATATGATAAGCCTTGCTGTAACCGTTATCGATAACTGTAAATTGGAGGCAATGGCCCCTATGTGGCTGGTTGCCTACTCAAGACACCACCTTACTTCGCCACAACAATCTGAGCCTCCAAGCGCGACTCAGAAATGAACGATTTGGTCAAAACTACTATTCCATCGTCATAGACGAAAGCCTAAGTTTACACAGGTATCAAAATCGGGACTTACGTCAGTGAACATGAGTAATCCGCTATCTTGCGGTCTCAATTTGACCAAAAAGTCGGCGACCAAACCCGCGCTGGCCAAGAGGAATCCCATTTTTGGAGGCGATGACGACTCAGACGACGATGCTCGCGCATTATTCGAGGGATTACAGACTGCAAAAATTACGGAACTGGACGATTACACCTCGCAATCGACTGGGTTACAGCCGAGCAATAAACCTTCATTGAAATCAAAGAAGACGGTACGACCATCCCAAGCGCCCAGTAAGTCCAAGAAACCCCAGATCTCCGTGTATGGGGATTTATCTAGCTCTCTGGAGTCGCGCAAGCACCAAGAAAAGGCGGAAGAGCTCGACCCCTCTATATACGATTATGATGCGGTCTACGACTCTCTGAAACCCGAGAAGAAGGCCGCGCCTGAGGATGTGGAGAGGCGGCCCAAGTACATGACCAACCTGATCGCATCGGCAGCCACGCGCAAGCGAGACTCCCTCATTGCCGAGGAGAAAAAGATCGCGCGGGAGCGGGAAGAAGAAGGTGAAGAGTTCGCCGATAAGGAGAAATTCGTCACCGAAGCATATAAAAAGCAACAAGAAGAAAACCGGCGGGTAGAAGCGGAAGAACGCAGAAGAGAAGATGCGGAGGCAAAGAAGAACCAGGGCAGGGGTATGACGGCGTTCTACGCAGACTTGCTGGAAAAGGGAGACGAAAGGCATGCTGAAGTCATGAAGGCCGCTCAAGGCCGTGTAAAGTGTGACCCCCAGATGGACGAAGCACCACCAGAAAAGGCCAAGACGGATGCGGATGTGGCCAGGGAAATCAACGAAAAGGGTGGATCTATTGCTCTCAACGAGGACGGTCAAGTCGTGGACAAGCGGGAGTTGCTGAAAGGTGGTCTCAATGTTATTGCGAAGAAGAGACCATATGTCCGGAAAGACCATGGTGTCGCGTCGGATCGCCGCGGCGACGGGGATCGGCCGGTAATCTTCGTCGGAGCGGGAGGCGGCAAGAATGCCATGCGCGAACGACAGTCGCGCATGTTGGAAGCGCAGCTAGAGCAATCGCTTAAGAGATCGCTCGAAGCCGAGGAGGAGGAGAGACAAAAAGTTGAGCGCGCTACTAAAAGCAGAAAAACTGAGACAGACATTTCGAGCGCGAAAGAGCGATACCTCGCGCGTAAGAGGAAAGTCGAAGAAGCTAAAAAGAAAGGTCTTGTAGAATAGCCCTGAGTAGAATATATTCCTAGTGCTCCTTTCAGAATCGTCTCGGGCCGTCAGTGCAGTACTCAAGTTCACAACCTGTAGTGTCGTACTTTATATTCCCAACACTGTATGTTGTTACCCTTTTTGCAATGCCTGACCATGATTGTATGCCGTACACTCCCTGTAATATACAATGATCGATGGAGATTTATGTTTTGGTTTATCTACCTCGCCCCTGCATCGAAGTTGTGTGTGCATTATTGTTCCCGCTGCAACCGCTTGATATATGTTGTGCTGACTTGGTTCCATGCTGACATGTACTTCTCCATGCACTGGGTGAAACAGATCTGCTCGCCGCTGGATAATGAGGACCCCGGCTTCGGTATACATTTCTGGAAGCAGTGCTCATTGACTTTCTAAAAGAGATATCAATAATGGAACGACGATGAACCCAGATCCTTGTGGCGCACTATGCTTCATACCTCGATCAACTCTCTGGCGTTGTTCATCGCATATTGCGTGCGGACTTGCTTGATGACCTCGGCTTTGACACTTTCGGAATTCATGTTGTTTGTTGTTGACGATATGGTTTCCACATGCGAATGCAGGGGAGATTTTAGTGAATGCAGTCGTAGCACTTGATGGAGCGCGATTCGGCGGGGGGCTTGCTGTGACGACTCGGAAACTTTCTGGTTGAGCTTCTAGGCATTCAATATCACAGGTGTTTGATGGTTTGCTTTAGGGCTGCTGTGGCTGTGTTGACCCGCAACCGTGGCTGATGATTCTCCACTATAAATCGATCGGCTCAATGCTGCAACGTGCAGACACACCCAAAAAAAGCCGTACAGACAAGGGTCGTAGCTCGGGGTCTACCTGAATGTAGTTTGTGAGACAAGCTCTCGCCAGCTGGCCAGATTATTTGCCTACGCACGAGACGCCTTACGACACAATCTCTCGACCACTTGAGCAGCACGGGAGACTTGGGCTCAACGGCAGCCCTCCCTTTTTAATATTACTTGGGTTTATTCTTCTCGTTTCTCCTTGCATTCCCTTCCACAAGAGGCAACCATGAGGTGGACAACGCTGCCGGCCCTGTGGCTGGCCGCAACCAATGCCTGGGCTGCCAGCCCCGATGAGGAGGGATCCGTTAGGAGCATTTCGGTCAGTCCTCACCACCAACCTGCTGATATCCAGGCCGACTTTATTACTGACAGATTGGGCTCTTGTTGCAGCTGCGAACACACACCCTGGTGCAGCCTTACCTCGACTCGGACATGCAAAGTCGGTGGTATGATTTTGGAGGTGACACCATTATCCGAACAGATTCGTACGCTCGCATGGCTTTCCTGGGAAGCGTGGGAATTAAAAGGCTTACTTTGTCGCCAGATATATCCGTTTGTCATCGGACCGGCCTTCGCAGAGTGGCTGGTTATTCTCTCGCGTGCCCCTAACTGCCACTAATTGGGAAATTGAGGTTGAGTTCAAGATCCACGGCAAAAATCAGCTCTACGGCGACGGGTTCGCCATGTGGCTCACCAAAGAGCGCGGCAAGATGGGCTCAGTTTTTGGTCACAGTGACAACTTTGAGGGTCTCGGTATCTTCTTTGATACTTACAAAAACAACCGCCCAGGTGTGGTCTTCCCCTATGTCATGGCCATGTACGGGGACGGCAAGACGAGCTACAACAAGGACAATGATGGCAAGGATACCGAGTTTGCCGGCTGCTCGGCCCGTGGCATTCGACACGCCAGCGTGCCTACCAAGTTCAAGTTGACCTATTTCCAAGATAAGCAGTTGAAGTTGGAGCTTCAGTTCAAGTCGGAGGGCGAGTGGACCCTCTGCTTCGAGACCAGCGAGCCCCCTCAGATTCCCTCGGTCACATACCTTGGTTTCAGCGCCGAAACGGGCGAGCTCAGTGACAACCACGACATCGTCTCGGTCAATGCGAGGAACCTATACACTGGTGGCGGTGGCGGTGGCGGGAACAAAGCTGCCCCTGGCGGCAAGAACAGGAAGAACAAGAACAAGAAGAATAAGAAGAGCGGAGGCTGGGGTTGGTTCCTCTTCAAGATTGTCATGTTTGGACTGGTTGTTGGGGGTGGGTATGCTGGCTACACGGCTTACAGAACGAACAAGAGGAGAAATCGATTTTGAGCTGCAATTATTTGATGTATTAAGTGCAGGAGTGGGGGATAGGAGTGGGACATGCCCGAGACGAGAGGAATCATCCGTATATGTCATCTACGTTGAAGGCGTCGGCCTTATTGTGTGTGTATTTCGTGAGGTCACAAGGATGGCAGACACGGAACGGAGTGTATAATATGAACCAATACACGGAAATCCACGACCTGAAGATCTCCCCGAGGGCGGTATCTTGAATCCTCATCTCTGGTTACACACAGCTAGGGATATTCAGTGACTGGCTAGCTCTGTTATCTAGCCCATAGAAACGGTTTGATCTGGCAGACTACTGGATGAGAAAAGAGAGATGAGTCTCGAATAGATAAGGAATGCAAGGTAAGGAAGTGAACGTGCTCACATTATAAAATCTAAACAACTTAATAAGCGGAATCCTGCGACTACGAGGACTACTATCAATCATGGCACTTGCGCCTTTACGATGCCGGAGTGGCCCACAGCTAAAGCAGATTCGGTTGCGAAATCAAGGCAAGCGCCTGTCTCATGAGAGTAAGTTTCCTGTTGGATTTGATTTCCAGTAATAAGTGTCACAGTGGAATGATTGAGAACATAACAGTTAATAAAGGGTCCAGTATAAATCCCAAGCTTCGGACCCAATCTGGGAAGGCTAACAACGAAGAAAAAGAGGTGACTTGAAATCACGGATATCGGGTGAATTACCCCACATAACTGCCCTTTCGCAGTGAAGATCAACTGAATCAAACCTACAGGTGACCACGACAGCGCAACCCCCTTCGAAGGTTAGGGGAGGATGGATTGGCATTGTTGACTGCAACTTAAGTATGCTGCGGGTATACACAATGGACAAGAGGTCCTGATCAAGAGAAGACCAAAAATCTTGGGCCTGCACTTAACCCCAATCTTTGTTTGGTAAGGGGTCACTAGCCTACGTAGATCTCTCCAAGCTTTAGCACAGACAGGGTGAGGTGATCCGCTTGGGGGAGAGAGTCAAGAGGTTTCTCCCCAATGCTCTCGAACTTCCCTTGCACACACCTTGCATGCGGTGCGGTGTATGGAGAGAAAGATCTGCATTGAGTATGCGCCTTTTTATTAGCTCTGTAACAGTCGCCTTTGCACCTCTCAGCTGGAAGTCGTCATACCCCAACCCTTTGACCACTAAGGCCACCTTGGAACTGCTTGGGAGCTAGCTGAGCCGTCTTCTTTGGACGCAAAAACCCCACCTTTCCAATCCAGCCCAGCCCAGCCGCCTCGCTCACTCAGTGTCGCCAACATGCCTTGCTTTACTTGAACCCCCCAAGCTTCGGGCTTTTCCATTAAATTAGTTTGAATATTCAGTAGTCCTCCACCTTGGCAACTTTTACAGGCCCTATCAGAAACTGTCAGAAACTGGGGCTGCAGTGTCTCGATCGGTCGCAATTGTACATCAATCTATCCGCCTTACCTATACCTCCTCGACAACGACCGCCCAGGACAACACAGCAGCTCTTCTACCGAATCTGACAGGCCCAATTCCTGGCTCGCATTCCTTGCAGAAAGAGGACAAGGAGACGACGGCTGCTGAGCTCGCCTTATGAAGACAACGGCCCGCTCTTTTGTACCACAGAGACTGTTGCTGGAAACGATTGGGCCACCTCTTCGATCCTAACGTTGCAGACTCGCCGTCCAAGTCTAGTCTACTTCACGCCGCAAAAATCGCCTCTGGCTACTTATCCAGTAGTGGTTGCGCTTCACTTCTTAATTCCGCCTCCTTCGTCCCCCCCGCTGGCAGCGTTGACTGGAACGTGCCAGCTCTGAGCCTATCCTACTCTCCTGCCACCGTCAAAGACTTACTACCAAAGAGAGACCGAAGACGACCGACTGCTAAATCATCCAGAGAGGAACATACAAGACTACGACGCCAAGTCTCCAATTGACTTTTCTTTGTGCTGGTCTAACTAACCTCTCTTCCTTCCTCCCCCGCACAAATCGACTGTCTCGAGGGTCCGGCCCCTCCATTTCCCTACCCAGTATATCATATGCCGACTCTAGGATTCCTCAAGAAAAAGCGGACGAGGGAGGACAAGCCAGATCCCTCTAGTCAGCCGTCGAGTCCGATCACGCCGATAACCCCTCAATATCCAAGACTTTCGACAACGCGCTCAGTACCACCTCAACCCAGGCCCGCACCCCTAGCGCCCACAATCACACGCAATCGTCATCGTCAGGCCATCAGTCTGGAACCCAAGAAACACAGACACCAGCTCCGGCTGGTGGAGGGCAACCAATGAATACCTTAACGAGCCACCAACAACAACAACCCTATGGGATCCAACCTACACCCAGTCCCGGCCAGGTCGTACCGAGCATCAACAACCTCATTAACCCGCCACCGCAGCAGCTTGACGGCTCAGCACAGTCCTTCGCAACTCCCCCGAACGCGGCTCATCATGGCCCATCACAGCATCCAGCGCAAACACACCAGCCACACCAGCCGCACCCGCAGCATCCACAGCACCAGGCACAACCCTCGGATGTCAGGGTGACCAAGGGCAAATACTCGCTCGGTGACTTCGACATGCTACGAACGCTGGGGACAGGCAGCTTTGGGCGCGTTCACCTGGTCCAGTCAAAACATAATCAGAGGTTCTATGCCGTCAAGGTGTTGAAGAAGGCGCAAGTCGTCAAGATGAAGCAAGTCGAGCACACCAATGACGAGCGGCGCATGCTCGGGGAAGTTAAGCACCCTTTCCTCATTACGTTATGGGGAACATTTCAGGACCCAAGGAATTTGTACATGGTCATGGACTTTGTCGAGGGTGGCGAGTTGTTCTCATTGCTGAGAAAATCTGGCGTAAGTTAGCCTCCTGGAATGTAAATGGCCGTCTAGCTGATGGCCGCTAGCGATTCCCCAACCCCGTGGCCAAGTTCTACGCCGCCGAGGTGACTTTAGCGCTAGAATACCTGCACTCGAGAAACATCATTTATCGAGATCTGAAGCCTGAAAACCTCCTGCTTGACCGGCACGGACATCTCAAAATTACGGATTTTGGGTTTGCGAAGCGTGTACCCGACAAGACGTGGACGCTATGTGGCACGCCCGACTATCTGGCGCCCGAGGTGGTTTCCAACAAGGGCTACAACAAATCAGTGGACTGGTGAGTCTCGGCTACTATGGCACCCAAGGGAGTCACGATGGAGGCGGCTTCTGACATGAACCCAGGTGGTCATTGGGCATCTTGATCTACGAAATGCTCTGTGGCTACACGCCCTTCTGGGATAGCGGATCGCCCATGAAGATTTACGAAAACATCTTAAGGGGCAAGGTCAAGTATCCGCAGTACGTCAACCCCGACGCGCAAGACCTGCTAGAACGGCTCATCACGGCGGACTTGACGAAGCGACTCGGCAACCTGTACGGAGGATCGCAAGACGTAAAGAGTCACGCTTGGTTCGCTGAAGTCACGTGGGATCGTTTATCGCGGAAGGACATTGATGCGCCGTATACGCCGCCCGTCCGCGCTGGCGCCGGGGACGCGAGCCAGTTTGACAAGTATCCCGAGGAGACGGAGAAGTATGGCGCACCGGGTTCTGACGAGTAAGTTGGCATGTACAATGGGGGACTGGGCACTGCTGACAAGGGGCAGGTATGGTCACATGTTTGTTGACTTTTGAAGGAAGCGCGTTTCGAGGCTGGCTCTGAACAAATGAAGGAGTTTACGGCAATTACCTTTGTCAGAGTTGCGAATCATGCTGGTCCGAGGCAGATTCACAAAGGATCATAACACGGGTTCGGTCTGGGTAAGGAAAGGCAAAAACAGCTTATGGGGATTTTTCTTGTCAGGGAGGGGTGCATTATACTCGAGTGCTCATCGGAGTGTTGGTGATGATGGTGGGCGCAAACTCTGGCACGGACGGGGCTACGAGAGTAGCAATAGGCTTTCTAGTATTATTCCACCTGGTGAATGCATTGTTCAGTCCTCGAGTCTGCGTACTTTGAGGTATATAGTCGACAGATGGTCGACATATGGTCGATAGATGGTTGGGCGCTCTGGGTGAATCGTTGCCGGATGCGCCATCAAGTTGGGGGCAAGGTCGAGAAAACGGTAAGTCTTGCTGGATTGATTCTCACGGAATGCTGAATGGGATGAGAGGGATGTTCACTGTGTATGAATGGCTAATAACAGAGCAATTGCTTCTTCTTGTTGGTCTCGAAAATAGGCCAATAGTCGATGCATGCAGATAATACTTGAATGGTTTGCCCCGCCTATTCAAGTAAGTACTTATTGCAGGTAGACCCAATTAGGAATAGGTTTGGACCCGCCTCTCCATTATTTGGTCCCATCTCGACTCCAGTCTCCTGGCTTGCGGCTTGCTAAGGGGCTGGTCTCCAAAAGCTCTCTCTCCCTAATAAAGCTTTCTTCTACTTGGACTTTTGGACTTCCACTGAGCAGTTTGACAGTGGTGGTTAAGAGATCTACGCTCGGTCACTACTGGGCAACAAGCTACTGTTGGTAGGCTACGGGTAAGCCAAGCTAAGCTAAGCTCGGCCAGACTAGATGCCAGGTGGTCGGAAGGTTTTTGGCAAATCTAGAACAAAGTGCAATGCTTTGAAGGTTGTCATCTTTCTATTGAACCATTGATCCCATACTTCCGTCGCCTGCCCGCCATGGATGATTATATGTTCCGCAGCCATGTGCAGAACTGCAAGTACGTGCCCGAGAACACGAGCTACCTGGAGATTCTCAATTACTCGGTATGTTTACCCAATGTTCTACTTTATATTTTTTCCTTGGATTTTTTCTTTTTTTGTTTTGGTTGGCGCGAGAGAAGAGGGGTCTCTCACCGCCGCCGAGAGCTGCCGTCAGCGCAGAGCACAGCAGGCATGCTAACTGAGCGGCATTTGTAGGATCCGGCCTACAATACCGAAGAGGAGCATCCCCTAACTTCTGACGAATTTGAGAACTTCCTTCACCGTAGGGTATGTCTACGGCTTCCTAGCCCCGGGTGAGGGCATTGCAGCTCGTGGAATATTATTTTTTCTCTCTCAAAAAAGCCCTTCATCCATCTCAGAGCCCGCAGGTCATCTTCTCCATACTCGTCGGTTCTATCGAAAAGGAGGTTGGTTGGCTGAGCGGGGCTCTCTCACACCGCAACCGCTTCCGCTTCCGCTTCCGGATCAAAATCCCCGGACCACCAGCACCCCATTGTACCTGATGCTAACTCGCCGTTCCTCATTTTAGGGGGCATTTGAGCTGCCGAAATTGCCAGATGGCGTCCGGCTTTTGGACGGCATCCGGCTCGTGTGAGTTGAAGTATCCATATGGTGAGTTAATGATGCGGCAGACTGACATGTAATCATGCACTTTGCAGACTCCAAAAAAATGCAAAGCAACCCGAAACTTTTGCGCCTCACCACATCACCTTGCCCCCGACTATGTATGAGTCCATGGTGAGGACCATGTGTCTGCCTTTCCGCGCCATTGAGGGAACCAGCGTCGTTGGGCCTTTCTTTTGGGCGGCTTTTGATCAGGCGCCCAACGATCCTCACCTGCGTAAGAATCCTACCAAAGCCTATCCCGAGCACTCGACTGACATCCTGGCAGAAATAATCTTCCGTAAATCTGATGTGCGCAAGAAGGGCAAGACGCGGGGGTGGGAGGTGATGCTGTCGCATGCCTTCAACACGAGCATCACGACAGGTTTTGTGAAGGGCACGGCATCATCGGATATCAACGAAGCCATCCAGCATCTGCGGGCCTGCGCCGCCCAGGTCGCCCACCCGCTGCTCTTGCCCATCATAATACTCTCGCATGACCTCTCTTCCAGGACGGACCAGAAGCAGCGTGACGCCCGGGACTGGCTGCGCCGGCTCGAGAACGCCGTGACGATGCGCAACGAAATCGACGAGAAGGAGGGCTACATCGATTTTGACCTCGACGCCATAAACCGCGATCTTGTCGAGTGCCACTCCCAGGTCCTGTGGAAACGGCCTCAGGCCTACCAGGAGATCATTAAGGAGATCAAAGGCGCCATGGACTTGTTCTGGCAGGGCTCCCGCGCCCTTTCCAAAATGCACGAAATCTCCGCTCTCCACCAAAGTATGGCGAGTAGGCTGGACTTCTATCGCATTAAGTTGACTGGCATTGAGAACTACGCTCATACGACGCTAGAACGGCTGAATATCCAGCGTCAAGCTGTAAGTTCCTTTGTTCCCTTTATAAAGACGGAAAACTTACTTAAAACCCCTTCAGCTCTACAATATTATTGCGCAAAAGGAGTCAAAACTAAATCTAGAGATGGCAGCCCAGCAGCGTCGCTTGGCCCATGCCAGTAAGCGCGACGGAACCGCCATGAAAACGTTGTCCCTGCTCGGCGCCGTATTCCTTCCCGGTACCTTTCTAGCCTCTATCTTCAGCATGACCTTTTTCGACTTCAACGTCGGTTCATCCAACGGTCTGGACGATGATAGCTCCGGCAAGGGCGCCACCGTGTCCGAGTATCTATGGATCTACTTCGTGGTCACCATCCCCTTAACCCTGCTCATCGTATTGTCCTGGTGGTTCCTCGATAAGAGGCGCGAGAAGCGGTACAGGGAGGAGGACGTGGAGATTGAGAAGGGTATCGACACTATGGAATCCGAGATCATGGCCATCATGCGCAAAAAGACCATGAGCAAGGCCACGACGTGGACGAGTGGGCAGACACCCAGTATAGCACTGACTAAGATGGAAGGGCAGTGAGCCTAATAAGACATGTACAAGACTCGTGCGTTTGGATATCGAATATATTGGGATAAATTATGAGGTCGAACCAAAGGAACCTGTCGACAAAGGCAGGTACCTGGTCTTCCATCCAGATGCTACGATGCCAAGACTGCGAATACGACTTGATGACAATATGACATGACTATAGTACATAGACGATACATAATGCATGGGGCGAGTTGGACTGTACTAGATAGGACTTAATAGGATGTTTTTCGAGCCAGGCATGCCTTGTTGAAGTCGACTTATCTGCTAACGTAGTCCACGGTCCAATTGCACACTTTGGCAGACCTTATACGACAATGTATAAGTTAATTCAACCACAACGCCTATCATCAATTGAAACTACTCAGAATCGTTATCTTCAAACGTCTCTACATCATTTCCACAAGTGCGCGCATTATGTCCGGGCTCGCCGCAGATTCTACAGCGCCGTACACGCGCAATTCGCCGCCTCGTACGACCACCAATTTGACGAAATTCGTCATGTAACTGCCCATCAACCTCTCGTTGAGACTGTAGGTCCTGTCCAGCTTGTATATGAAGTGACCCTCCACTCTGTAGCTGTTTTTTCTTCGCACGGCGACGTCGACTTAAGGTCTCATTTGCCTTTCGAAGTGATTCGACCTCGCCTTCTAAAAGGGCAAGCCGATGCATAACCTTCGTTGTACCTCGCGCAATCTGATCTATTCCAGCAAAAATTGACGTTGGTGAGCTATTTTGATGTCGTACAATCCTATTTTTCACATAATCGCTTTGTGATTGGGCTTCGGTTGGGTTGTTCGGAGTCTTTGATTCCCAAGGGACGGGGAGACCAGCCGAGCTACCCGGAGGTGTTGGCGTATGTAATTTCACACCGAGCTGTGATATGACATAATCTGCATCGTACGGAACTATTCCTACCCCTCGGAAACCTCCTTGGATATTTGAAACCGTGAAAGTTGCGTTGTACGCGTTTAAAAACGCCGGTAAAAAGTCTTCTTTCGAGATATGACTTATATGTGCTCGCATGAGATCTTCGATTCTTTTCCGTACGCTCTTTTTAACCCGCGAAAACAACCAACGTCAAGAGGCTGGAGCTTATGCGACGAATGAGGAGGCATACAAAGCGTGACGATATTGTTAGCTTTGCAATATACCTCGAAATCGGTCGAGTGATGGCTTTCGTGACCGTCGAGGATCAATAGGCGATGAGTACCTTTCGTACGACACTTGGTGTGATGATCGAAGTGTTTTATCCAATCTTCGCCCCTCTCGTTCGTAGTCCAGCCATTTTTAGTAACTGCGATAACCCAATCAGGCGGTAATGGACTGTTTTCGTACCATGACGAGAGGTGGGTTTTGCCGGCGAAAATGATGTACGGAGGGAGGGCATAACCGGACGACCCAACGCCTTGAATAACTGTAACCCATTCCCGATTTCCTTTCTGGGCTGCTCTAGGCCTTCCGCGCCGATCAGAAGTCGTCACGACCATTTCGGACGAGATTTGGCCCATCACAAAACCGGTCTCGTCGAAGTTGTAGATATCCTCCTCCTGGATCGCGTATTTCGCAATTGTATTCCGTACCAGGTCAAACCACGCGCGATACGCGTCGGGGTCTTCGAAGAGGACTCTCTGATAGTCGATCCTTCGATTTAAACGCGTCCGGAGGCCTGGTTGTCGTCTTACGAAGCTCGAGGCCCAGTTGACGCCGACGCGTCCCGCGTCACGACTTCGAAGTAATCGGTTGGCCATATCTTCAACACCACTCAATCGGGGAGTAAATGCTCGCGAATCTAGGTCGGTTATATGTCGTACGATTGCCTCTTCTTCGGAAGGAGTCAAGTTTTGCGTTGGCGATCGCGTAATCGCTCGAGCGGTTTTACCGTCGCGTCGATACGCAAGGGTTCTAAAAGGTACGTTATAGATCTGACCAGCGCGACGTACACTTAATTTTGGATCAGATTGAAGCGCATGTAATGCTAGAATCATATCACTTTCGTTCCAAGAACCAACCATAGTTATGTGGTGAAAAACCGCAGGTCAAAGTGGTAGCGTACGAAAATCTGCCGAAGTGTGCAATTGGACCGTGGACTACGTTAACATGAAGTTTGGGAACGAGAAGTCTGCCACACATGTCGCCCTTCTGCCTCTAACTCTCAGGTCACGACTACCTCGACCCCGAGGATGGAAAGTGAACGAACTCCTGGTTCGTAAGATGAGGATGTAGCTGGTTGTTTTTGGTCGGACCTGCCTACATGATAGTAGGCAAAACCTGTAAGGTGTTGTCGTATCTTATAATGTTATACTTATCGTGGCGTGGAATTTCCTATAGATCAACAGGGGAACGGCGAATTAGACGAGCGTGGCATGATAGATCTGGATTCGTGGATTATTGCAAGCAACCGCAGTCACTTTAGTCAGGTGAAGAAGTCCACCTATATATAAATAAGACGACATTAATGAAACTAGAAGAGGAAACCATTTAAGGGAAAGCAAACAAGCGAGTGGCTGAAAGTAGCAGTGTCTGCCTAGTCGATTTGAAGAGTGAGAAGGGTTTACTTGCAAGAGAGATTTTGTTATCCTGTACCAGATATCGGATAGCTTGGATAGCGGTGAGGTAGGTGAGATGATGAAGGTGGAGGGTTATGGGGATATTAACCAACGGAAGCCATGACAGTGCCATGAACCCGTACTAGATTTATTGTTAAACCAACAGTTTGTTTTCCAGGTTGAACACTAGATCTCCTAGCTTCAAGCCAGTTAACTATTTATGGTATTGGGAATTTCTAAATCGACTAGACAATCAAATCTCTTGCGTTTTTAGTATTATATTATGCATTGGCAGGCTAACGGCCAAGACTGGAGTGCCCTATACCGAAGGATTTCAACACTCCAGCATACATATATTGGTGTAAGCCGTGTTCGCTCCCATCGAAACATCCCAGTCTCCAGAACCTGTGTACATCCAAATTCCCTTTAATGCTATATATCACACCATGATGTCTCCCTGGGTTAATACTCCTAGCCTACGTTTGATAAGAGACCCGGCAACCTGAACCCTGATGATTTCCAAACCCTTTACACTAGACGCGTGTTATCCTTGCGTCTGTCGGATTCCTGTCCAACCTATCACGCTGGACCCTAAATGAAATTCGTCCGCCGCTTGCCTGTGGCTTTAGCTGGAAATGCCCCCCGAGACTAGCCTCATTCCACCTTGCCCGAGAAGCTTCACTACAATTGACCTAAGAAGAAACCGACCAGATGCAAAACACAAAGCCCTGTAACAGCTGAAGTTACTTCTGGTCACCACCTCAAGCAGCAGTTGTGCCAGTGGCGAAACAGACGAGATAAGTCCCAAGCCAACAGACCCACGTGGGCACCAACCTAACCGTCTTGAAGACGGCACTCACATTGTGGGCTAATTTATACCACACGCCCATCAGTTGCATAATGGTATTGATCATCATATGCAGTTGGCAACAGATGATCAAGTTCGTCTATTTTGTGAGTGGCGAGGCTTAACGGATGGGAAGCTACTTAATCAATCTTCCCCAAAACGTCCCGTTTCGTTCTTTTCCCCTCCTATTGCACCTCGAGAGAATATATGATAGGGGATTTTTGCCTGGTCTCGTCGTCGTATTAATGCCTACTTCTCTCCGTGGGTCACCTACAGTCTCGCCATTGTCAATTATGGTTGTGATACTAGTTGGATATACTCTCAGCTGACCGCCTTTCAGCTATGGGAGCTACATCAAGCTGGGCTAATAACGTGCCCTCATCTTTGAATTAAAAAGTGTAAATGCGTAATGAGACGGAAAAATGGAATTCCAGCGGCTATATCTCCTCTTCACCCCTAGGTTGCCGAGCTTCATGTCCTCCATGATGCTGTTGAAGTGGTAGGTGTATTTTCTGCCAGCGGAAAAAAACTTGAGGTCGATTGAGTGTATGCAAAGGGGTATAATGTGAGAAAAAAGTGCAGCCTCTGCGGATGGGACCGAGCAGACGGAGAAAACCACACGCCCAATGTCGCCATGTCCCACTGACTGCCGGCCGTACCCGTTGTAGACAGAAACCCGCAGGTCGTAATTCGTATCGATAAAATCGACGGGTGTCCAAACCCATCCAGATTCACCAAGGAGAGTATACTCCAGGGTCGTGAGCATGCAAAAGTATCGCGGGGAGAGTGCGCCATAAAAAGAATAGACCCCCGAGTTCTCCAGATCAAGTTCGTGTTTCCCACAATGCCAAAGACGCCGCGTGTCAGATGATGTATCCGGATGACGATCAAGAGGACGCCGCCTCGATCATGAAATGACACGTAAACCAGTCCAGCCAGCTCGCCAGCCAAACCTCGCCGTGCGAATGCGATATTCGCCAAAAAAAACGCCATGCCGATGCAAGATTACTATACAGATCCAAGTTGAAGAAGAGCCTGGATGGCCTCGCGCTCCTGAGTATTGGGCGAGGCTGCCAGAGCGGCTAGATCGATGTTGTCGAGTCGTGGCTCGCGGAGCATGCCGGTACCAGAGAAGGAACGCAAGCCCCCGCTGTTATGTCCATGGGATGAAACGTAACCCTGACGTGCTTCGGCAGGGCTCGAGTAGGATGTCGCTCTGAGAGCAGCCGCCCCAACGGTCGCCCAATCCTCATCGTCAGTGGCATCTTCGGGATCATCGTCCATCATCACATCGTCATCGTCACCAGCCTCGGAACAAGATGCCGAAGCAGGTCCACCCAGAGAGTCGAGTGACATTTTATCGGCCTCATTCTCCAGCATGGCAGCGTCGCCGTCATCATGGGAGAAGGCGGCCGAGTTTCCGTCGCTGCGGGCGCGGGGGTTCAACCGTGATCGCGAGCTACTCCACCCAACGGCCTTGTTGATGGGTATGCCAGTTCCGGTGCCAGTTCGGTGACATGCTGAAGTACTCGCTCCCGGGGACAGGCGTGACGGTGCGTATCGACCGAAATGACCTCGTCGCTTTGCGTCCCATCTTCCCCAACCAACCTTCTCATACTCCACGTCACCATTCACGCCTCCGCCGACTCCAGACCCATGACCCTTCCCTTCCAGCGCTGCGACCACTAGCCTTCGGGCCTTGGGTGGCGGAATACCCGCGAAGCCGGGGACCGAGGTTGTGAGATAACCCATGATGTGACGGATGGCCAGAGGCCCGTGGCTCAACAAGATCTCGGGAAGATGATACTTAGAAAGCAGGGCGGGAGTGATGGCACCGGCCGACTCAAAGGTAGGGGATACAATCAAGTCGGATTCGGTGCTGTCGTGGAGATCCAAATCTGAATCGATGGGTTCGAGCTTGGACGCCTTGTGCAGCTGGGCCTTGAGCCCATGGGGAGGCAGCGCGGGGGATATCGAGTTCGGGGGAGTCGGAAGGGGGTGAGTTCGTGTCACAGGGACACTCCGAGCAGCCGCTACAGCAGTTAAGTTGTCTCGGCCGACAGAGGTCTTCGGGATATCGCGAGCAGCAGCAGCGGTTGCCAGAGATGCCATCTTGATTGCAGATTGATTCAACTTCGAGACGTGTCTGTATAGTGATGCGACACCGAATTAATGTCTTTGGACGAATGAAATGGTGTGTTGTGTGTGACGCATCGACTCGACCGGATTGTGTTGAGTCATAGGGTACTTACAGAGCAGGTCCGAATTAGGCTGGGGGAATATGGCTATTGTTGATTTTTGCTTTCAGCGTGTTGATGCGAAAACAAAAACAAGAGCAAATAGGCAATGCAGCGGCGCTGACGCGATTCTCTTGACTGTGACAAGAAGATGACTCTTGGGTGCAAAAATGCGTGCTGTTGGGTTCTCGTTGTTGATGTGCTTGAGAAGGGGAGAAACGCACCAGCATTGGTAGGGAGCGACGACAAGCCCTAAAGTTCAGTACGGGAGTACGGAATACGTGCGCAGCTGGCACGCAGGCTTGCCTTACTCGCTGGTGGGTAGACAGCCTGGTCCAAGGGCACTTGGGAACATGGAAGGTTCTACTTGGTGCTTAGGTGCCGGAGTGTGCCGAGTGATAGCTGCACCTGCTGATAGGCTGCGGTGGCCTGCTCTAAATGATAGGGGAAGCTGTGCGCGCAACAATAGAAGTCGCAAAACTCGCGAGGAAATGGCCTGCCTGCCCCAGGAGTGGATCTATTTAGAAATTGGAAACAGACCAGAGGGACTGGGCTCGGGGCAATGACTGGCAAATGCTCCTCCATCTTGGCTCATCAGGACAATTCAGGGTTGATTTCCCAAGCCGCCGGTTGCTCAGAAACATACAACTTTAGATGTACCTCACCCGTACCCTCTCGTATCATCCCCGGGGTCGTCTGAGTAGGCCTGGGGTGTTGTGGCAGTTATCAGACAATTCTAGGAAGAGAGACGGGGTTGTAATAAGGACACACCACACCACCTGATGTTTGTCGGGAGTTTTTCACTATCAAGCATCTAATGAGGAGGAAGCCTGGTTGCAGGTCTTTGTCCGCTTCTAAATTTAGGACAACTATCATTTAATGTTTGGTGGGCGCTAGCTGTGTGTATTTGTGTGTGTGTGTGTGTGCATGTTTTTCTTCCTTGAATGGAAAAGATGCAACACGGCTCGGGACGAACGATGACGTTGGGCGGCCTGCCTGCACGCATCGGAATCACTGCTTGCTTGCAGTTGGGAAGTTTCTTTGACTTGACGCGTGGAAAAAGGACTGGGGTTTCCGGCTATTCCATCATTTATGTGAGTCTGCTAACCTTACTACGTAGCGCTGTCTAGGGTGTGGGTTGATTAGGGTATTCAAGGCTCAACTTATGGGATAGAAGTATTTCTAGTGTAGAGGCTTGCTTTATTCACTGCAAAAATGGGTGCATCTGCATTATTAGCATCCCTATCCCCTGACTGACCATTTCGGACCCAGCGAGACAAATCCTGCTGGGTCGTCAATCCATCCACATCTGTACACAGTACGATTTAAGGTGGATAATGGGAAAGTCGGGTGATCTTCAACACCCCGGGCAGGCCTCTGCCTAGGCTATCACGCTTGTTGGAATCGCTGAGCCTGCGGCATATCATAGGCACGTACTATTGAGAGGCCGGACACGCACATCATGACCACATACAAAATCTCGGCCTGGCATCGTCGCGACTTCTAGTCTGCAGAGAGTGCTGAGGCTGGAATCTTCAATTCGATCATTCCCACCAGCACAATTACTTACTTTTTAATCGTATGCATGCGTACCTACCTACCTTGCCCGAATAACTAGTTGCATGGTGCCGTGTTAGTTTTAGATGCCCTAATAGTCAGCTTGCACCATAGTATGGTCTATAGAAGTTGAGTCATTTTTCGAAGCTGACTAGCTGTTCAGCATGTCCAGCCATATCAAAGGATGCTTCATGTTTCATACAAGCTCCAACGTGATTGTACAAGCCAGTCAGCACCGCCATGACCTTTTCTCGCTCGCCTGACCTGACGTAGACCTAGCTCCATCAAAGTGTCACAACACCTCGACATATGATTGATGCCTCAATTACCGTACGACGAAGCAACCGCATGGTCCCCTAAGCGGCAATGGGGGCTGCAAAGCAACATGGTTCGGTGGCAATAGGTTTGTACCCAGAGAGCACACGATGCGGAATGGCGGTAACTTTGAGGGGTTTGCAGCTTGCGTCTTTTGGGGGGAGGAGGCGGGAGGAAACTTGCTTGTTGAATCTATCACATCTAACCGCATTGACCACCTTTTTGCATGCACCCCCATTTTGCAGGGAATTTCTACGCCTCAACAACACGACGGCTCTCAATTTACCTCGCAATTGCTCCCTATCTACGTACAAAATGGCTAACACAGTGGAGAATAGTCTGGACGATTTTGAGCAGCGAATCGAACGCGCTAAAGAGCTTGTCCGTCAGGGCTCTTCCCAGGCCGTAGCAGCTCATCGGTACGGTATCAAGGGGACTACACTGTCCTACCGTATTCGTCACGGTAATTCGCATCGCGACGCGGCCTCCAGGCAACAAAAGTTGACTCCAGAGCAAGAGGAGGTTATCATGAACTGGATCCTACACGAAGAAGTGTGTGGACGGGCTCCTAGCAAGCGTTATGTGGCCGACTTCGCTGCCGAAATCCTCCTTGCTCAAGGGGATAACAATACACTCGGCCAACACTGGGTGGATCACTTCGTTAGCCGCCATCCACAGATACGTACCAAAATTGGGCGCGTCGTAGATGCTAGCCGAGTTAGAGCGTCCGATTCGAACAAGATCTGAGACTTCTACACCCTCCTCGAACGCTTACGTACGAAGTATCGTATCAAACCCGACAACGAGTATAATATGGATGAGACAGGTGTCCAAGAGGGGGAATCTGGGCATGGTACGGTTATTGGGACGTCTAATTCACGCCGGGTACGCGTATCAAAGTCGGACGCTTCGTCGTGGTGCTCCTGGTTAGAGTACATTTCGCATACCCAACGGGGTACACCTGTCTGCGTATTTTCCGGCAAGAGAGTCCAAGCACAGTGGTTCCGAGACCAAAATATCCCTGAGTGGGAATACACCGCGACGAGTAAGGGCTGGAGTAATAAAGTTATCGCAAATAGGTGGTTAGATCAGGTTTTTCTCCCCGAGACGAAGCCTAGGGGTACCGAATGGCGACTCCTTATCCTCGACGGCCACCAGACACATATTCATGCCGAATTTATGTGGAAAGCCTACTCGAATAGAGTCGCCGTGCTGTATTTACCCTCACACTGCAGTGACGATCTCCAGCCGTGCGATGTCGGGCCGTTCTCACCTTTGAAGACCTACTACCGCCAAGAGCTCAGGGCTTACGCTTCCTACAAGGCTACAGCCCCAATTTACAAGCAACGTATGCTAGAAGCATATCTACGTGCCTCGGAGAGAGCCTTTACTACGGAAAATATTAAATCTGGCTGGCGGAAGACTGGTATATTGTCAGGGTACGGCTAGGCCGAAGGCAATAGTACAGAGTGATGGGGAGTAATGGGCGTCCCTCCTACTGAAACGGGGTCAGGCGGTCAGTAGGATATACCTACCACCTAACACACTGAACAGACGGCTCCAGTACCAACAGATCCCATCTGTTGGTCTTATACGTCTGGTGCGCGAGTTGGTCGGATGTGCCTCTGATACTCGTATCGTGATAATAGGGTCTCGAACGTAAAGATAAGCTGAATAACTAAAATAACTAAATAACTGACTGAAAAGCGAAGGTGAAAATATAGATAAGGAGATGATGCGTGAAGATGGAAAACTCGTGTCCTACTCTGCCTCTGTGCCTCTTAAAAGAGAAAATAAACTTTCTCCTAGCCCCGTAACCTATTTCTCTGATGTCCGGCCTTACCCCGTTACACTACGTAGCACCGGGTGGTCACTGGCGGTCTCAGGTAGGGGTGCCCACGATGATGCATTGGTCTCTACTCTTTCCCTATCCTACTTCGAGATGGTCCTTATATAGATAGCTAGGCCGCCGCTTGGACCCGGCGTAGCCGTAGGTTTGGCGATGCCGGGAATTCTGACTCTCGGCATCCCGAAACTTCATATAGATTGTAATCATGACTCGGGAGGCTTTTGTCCGAAACACCCCACCGGCACCCTGCGTTCAGTGTCTGACATATATGGCCCCTAGGCTCCGAAGGACTAGTCGACGTATCTTGTGATCCTCCGCCTCATATATCACCACCTTTAGTTGCTTTTACTCCTCAGAAAGCGCAGTAACTATCTAGCCAACTACAGTCGATAGAGAAAGCCGAGGGCGGGGTATCTCGTAAGATTCGTACCCTAGTAGGCAAGGCGGGCAAGGTCCTTACACTCCAGGCCGCCGAGAATGCCAAATTACGTATCGAAAACGAGCAACTATATAAAGAACTCGATAAATACGCTCCAGATATACGCCAGCCCGTCGAGCCAGACCCGAATAAAGTATTCGTTAACTTATCAGCGATCCGAACAGCCCAGGACAAGCGAAATAAGCGAATACGGCCTATTTTACCGGATAAGCAGTTAGAAATTGATACTTTTCTCGAAGGAAGGGCCCCTCCTAAAAAGAGGGCTCGAAAGAATATATCTAAGTCTTCGGACACTTAAATTATTTTATTATTATTATTAAATACGCCGTAGGCTCGAAGCCCCCGGTACCTCTACTAGTACTCCCGTATGTCAAACCGTGCCCTAATGGCTGGACTAAATACATACGCTGCGTCGTCGGTTCGCCCTATTGGCGACTGCGTTGCGTTCACTACCATACTACGTTGGTTCTCAACCTACCAACAAAGTCCCCCCTGAGAAGATCGATGCTATCTGGGCCTTGAAGCTGTCCGACCCGTCCCTAGCAGCCATCTTACAATAGTCCCACTAACTACTGGTTCTCCTGTTGCCGTTGCGAGGTCTCTGCGAGAGTATAGTGGCCGTGGTGCGATGGCGGCCCGTAATCGTTCCCTCGGTCCTTCCAACAGCCCGCAAAAGAGGATTACGTGCTCTGCCGTCTCAGGGGCATCGCCACAGCGGCATAGCGGCGAGTACACGCCAAAAGCCCCTGTCTTGAATAAGAAGGCTGCTAGTCCTATTTTTTCCGTCCTGATCTGGCACCACTTAAATTAAGTATGTTCTGTATATGAATAATATGGACGAAGTATTTAGGTTGATTCAGTTAGACCCTGCAAAATGGGGGTGCATGCAAAAAGGTGGTCAATGCGGTTAGAGCCCTACCGAGATTTGGCTACCCCGCTGTCGACGACGCAGAAACATCCCATCATCCAGTCTTATTCACCCACGTTGTGGAACAACACGATACCACAGCCAGCCAGCAGTCTGCTGGAGGTTGCTGGTTTATTGATTAGCGCATTGAAGGCACTGTGCTATCGATCAAGTACTGAACATGGAAAATTCAATCTCTCTTTAGATGCTAAGCTACTTTCTGGTTCGTCCCGAACAGCCGCAACCGATTCCGATGTGTTCCGTGCGGGAAGTCAAAGTCGCGCCAGCAATGTGGTTGACCGTGTCTCGTTTTGCCTGAAATCAATGTTCTGCTTTCGCTCCGAGGGAAGTATCACGCACATGTTAGATTATCGCCGATTCTCGGAGTTGCCAGGTGCTGCTATCAATCGCATACCAGCTTCCTTTCCCGGAGAACAGCTGCGCATGATAGCCGCCTTTAAACTTGGATGTCGAGATAGCAATGTCCCATTCATCTCGACCAGGACCCCCGATCCAGCTTGTGTTTCGGTTGCCATCAGCAACATGGCCTAGACCTCGGGGCGACAACGTACACAATCGATCGTCGGGAGGAACTGGTATGGTCATAGCCCGAGGCTTATGGTGTTGAGGTGGATCATTTTAGAAACACCTTTGTCTTGCTGGAATATTTAGGAAAATACTGTGAGAGATAATTGCTATGCCATGCTCTTCCACCGGGCCAGCCATTCGTGAGGAATCAGCAGTAGTAGCATCAACCACCGTTATTTTGGAAAATGTATTCTCGGCATGCCTGCGTATTCGTTAGACAAGGTTATCGGTGTCGTTGTCCAAGAAGCATGAATTTGCAGAAGACTCACAGCTTTGAGAACGTTCAGCTTCTCCTGCGACTGGAAGTATACCTGGCGGTATTGATCAATACTTTCGTTAAGCACTACTTGCCGAGATGTACGACCTTCGCATACGGCCTTCATCTTTAGTTCCATCTCTTTCCGCAGGAAAGGCTTGCCTAGACTTGTTTCAAAGTTCATCCTGTCAAATCCCTCGATTAGTGCCACGCCCAGTCTGGTTGGAATGAATTCCATCACCCCGCCTCCCCCTCTGGCCCTTGACACAACTGCCCCGACTCGTCCACGACTAGCACCGCGATTGCCGCGGCCTCCACGGCCACCTTGCGCTGGTGATTGCTCGTCGAATTCCTCCTCTTCAACCCCCTGACGGCGTGTCCTGGGTACCGTGGCCACATACTCTCTGTCTTGGATTTTCTGTATATGTTCCGCCATTGTAGCGTCGGTTCCAATCCCATTGGCATCCATGAGCGAAATTAAGTCAGCTTCCGTCAAGTAACTCGGAGCTACTGTTTTTCCTTCGGTGATATGAGCCTCAAAGGGTTCAAAGCGCTCGCCCATGCTGAACTTTGGCAATATCGCCGTCCCGGTCCACTTCTCATAGACATAGACATCCAAGTAATTGCGTTCCAGCACGATAACCCCGTGCGCATGAAATAATTCCTCCCCGTACAGGATATCAATGTCTGTTGCCATGCCCTTGGCATCTTCCGAGCAGCAGGCCAGGAAACGCCGCACAACAAACTCATACACCCGGCGCTCATAATCATTATCGAGAACACTCGAGGTGGCGTTAATGATGGGGTGGATGGGAGGGTGAGCTTTGTCGTCATGGCGCCCCTGCCTTGGTTGCTGAAAGCCTCCATCCACGAGACCTTGGGCGAATTGGCCCCATCGGTTATCCACTGCCTGCTTCTGGACGAGGTCCCGCAGATTCATGCCTATATCGAAGCGGTCCGTCTCCGTCCTGGGATAGCTAATAAAGCCCTTGTTGTATAGCTTTTCAGCCGCCTCCATCGCTTGTTGACCCGACATGCGTAGAAAGCGGGTTGCCATTTTCTGCATCTCCACGGTAGTAAGTGGAAGGGGTCTCCACTTCTTGGTCGGCTTTTCCTGAACCTTGGTCACATGGGCCATTTTGGCTAAGAGGCATCTTTCGTATAAGACGATTACCGAGGCCCGGTCAAAGAGGCGATGGCGTGACCAGGTGAAGTTAACATCGATGCCATCTCTTCTGTGCATCACCTTGATGCTCCAGAATGGCTCCGGCCTGAAGTTCTTGACCCGAAAGTATCTGTCCACTACGAATCCCAGTGTGGGAAATTGGCATGATCCTGTCTGGTAAGTTGCCCGGCGGTGCTTGAGACGGTGCAGTTATGACTTACCGTAGCTGAGGACGAGGTTCGCCAGGGGCCCACCCAAGGGCTTCAGGTTATTCGACAGGAATCTTGTGAAGGCAAATCCGATTCTGAGATCCAACTCAATCCTGGCGGAGACTGCATTCACCTGCTTGTCGTCCAACATTATCAGGTTCCTGGCGGCATTGAGAATGTGCCTGAGGTGAATTAGCCAAGCTACTTCATAAAAGTAGCCGAGTTTACCAACGCTCTTTCAATGTTGCTGAACTTTGCCCTCTTGATCTGAAGTCGATTGTTGCCCTTCTTTGCGGCTTCGCAGATTTCATGGCCAATATGCTCGCCCTCGCGATCACAATCCGTCCAGATGCAAAGGGCCTGAGCGTACCTCGCTTGCTGCTCGATGTTGTTGGCGATGTCGGTTTTGTCCTGGGCCACCCTGTAAGAAGACAAGACGCAAGACAAACCCAAGACTGTATGGCCTACCTCGGAAATCACAGTATTGACTGGCGCATCGAAAAGGCGCTCCGGGGGTGGATGGCGCCAGTCCTTGTATTCGGAGGGGAATACCAGTTCGGTGATGTGGCCGAGGACGGAAGTCATGGTAACAGTACAGTTGCCCCATTCTTGGCCAAAGTCGTAATCGAAGACATAGTTCTTGATGTATTTGTTCCGACTGTTGTGCTGGGCTGGGGTCAGTGAAAGAGGTCCGGGTTGGACGGCGGGGAATAACACGAACAGTCTGGGAACGGCCGCCCGAGAGATGTTGCGCAACAGCTTTGGCAATGGATGGTTTTTCTGCAACGCAGAGGACTCTCATTTTGGAGTGAAAACGAATTGTCGTCAATGTCTGTGGTCTTAGTTCCAGGTGGCGAAGGCTATTGTGGAGTCTCTTCATTGGAACCGGCGCGACGATATTTGGACACACGACGGGATACGGCTGGCAGACTTCCTCCCCATCTCGTTTTGAATAATTGTTTTGATACTATCAACACAGCATGCTGATTTTGATTCATCTACAACTTACAGCTAAAGTGGTCCTATCCATTCGTTCCCGAGACCATGTAAAAAGACAAGTGTGCTAGAATTCTCAGATGCATTTTCAAGTTCTTCGAGGTTGGCAATTGAGGTTGATGGAGCACCTTCAGCCCCACCTGCACCTGCTACTGGGGAGCTCAAAGATTGGTCAGGCTCGCTGCAGGGGCTGTCACCAATGTCCGTGCTGTGTACTTCGTAGTAGGTACGTACCCACAGCATAAACTTTGACGATTCATGACGTTTAAGCAATGGATAGCCAGCTGTTGACCTCTCTATCTCCTCTTCTTCATCATAACGGCGACGCTACTACTACTACACTCTCCACATTAACACGAAGCCGATGGTGTAGGTCTCTATACATCAACTCTCCACAATGGCTCTGCCCTTGCTCAAATCCCTCGAGGAATGCGCCGACTTCTCCCAAACCGTCGAACCGTTCGTACCCCAACTCTATGAACTGCCCCGGGAGCTTATCGAACGCGCGTCAAGCTTAGACGGATTGCTTGACCTCTACAAACACACCAACCCCCTTGTCTCAGGGTTTGCCTACTCCCTATTCCTGGCAGTCGTATTCTTTGTCGTGTCGGAACTCAACAGGAACTACTCCCAAGTAGATCGCATGTGGAGTCTTCTACCAACCATCTACAACGCCCACTTTGCTGCTTGGTCTCACGTGAATAATCTCCCGAGTAAGAGGGTCGATCTTGTGCTGCTATGGAGTATTATTTGGAGTGTATGTGGCTTGTCGTTCTTATTGTGTAGTGGCAGTTGCTGACGATTTGAAAACACCAGGCCCGTCTTACTTTCAACTACTGGCGGAAGGGGGGCTATTCCGTCGGGTCGGAGGATTATAGATGGTACGTCTCCCTAGAGTCTGGAGAAACTTGGACATGTTTAACCAACGGACCAGGGAGATTGTGCGCAACAAGGCTCATCCAGTATTGTTTTTCCTCTTCAACGTTACCTTCATCTCGTTCATTCAAAGTGTCCTACTACTTCTGCTTGCAACACCAACCTACGCAATTATGCTAGCAGCGCAACACGAAAAAGATATCACGGCAGCGGATCTGGCGTTTATGGCGGTGCAGCTAGGGCTGGTCCTCATCGAATGGTTCAGTGATCAACAACAGTGGGGTATGCAGATATTGGACAGTGTTAACGGCACGCAGCTAACATGATTAGACTACCAGAATGCGAAACATAAGTACCAGAAGACAGCCAAACTGCCTCCTGGATTCCAGCAGCAGGATCTTGACCGTGGCTTCATTACATCCGGGCTTTGGGCGTATTGCAGACATCCCAATTTCTCAGCTGAGCAGACGATATGGTTCGTGCTATACCAATGGAGCTGCTATGCCTGCAAGGTTCTCTACAGCTGGACTGGAGTTGGCTCGATGGCCTTGATCCTGCTGTTTCAGGGTTCAACTTGGCTCACCGAACTGATCACGTCACAAAAATATCCCGAGTACAAGCACTACCAACATCAGGTTGGCATGCAAATACCGAGCCTGACTCCATACGAGACCCCCAAGCCTAAGGTAATTCGGACGAGCGACTTGGCCAAAAGGCAGAAGGCAAAACAAAAGTAGAAGTGGTTCTGCAAGCCGCGTTGCTATTGCCATCAAGCATGCCATGCAATAAGTTACTGCGCCGTGACATAGCAAGGTATATGCAACCCACCGAGCGACTGGTCCAGCCTATCCAGCGGGAGGGGTTAAGAGGTGCCATTAAGGTCCATCAGCAATGCCGCGCAGGTCTAAACAGCAATATACTTTGGCATCAGATCAACTCTGATCATATTAGTGGAAAACGGCGCTATCTTTGGTTTCAACTCAATTCAATCTCAGTACGCACATGAGGCGCAATATGCCTGCGCAGATGTTGAGATCGTTGAAATGAACGTCGGTACCACCCAGACACACCAAGTGCAATATAGAACTTTGATTGAACATGTCAGATTGTCAAAGCGTGCCATAGTCAGATGTGCGTTGTGCTTCGCCAGTCGCTAACTCTTCAATTTCGACTATGTTATCGAATGTCTAGGGCTTTATGTGGCAGTGGGCTGCTCTATTGGCTTCAAACGTAGCCGAGTTGAGAACTCAATAGGATCCATGTCGTACCATATTAGCATCCCTACCGATCGTTATATTTTGCCAAAAACGTATGTTGACAACTGTGCAGATGATTGCCAGTAGGCATGTGAATATGTTATATGTTATGTGGAGCCGGGCAGCGGCATTGAAACTTGCTGCAGCTTAATGTTTGATTTCATGAGGGTGAAGACACATCCTTAACACCTCGGCGACCTACCCACTCTTTGGAGCTCTAAGCTCATCTCACAACGTAGAGGTTAGCGCAGCTAGGAGTGGATCCCACATCAAAAGACCCTTCCTGTGGTTGATTCTGGGGAGACTCCCAAATCAGAATCACAGTCGGATTACCAGATTTACTTTTGCATATGAAACGAGGGAAATGGCTCTGGAATTGCAGATTTAATGGTGAGTAGTGGGTTTATGGACAGTACGCCTCGAGTTCCGCTGATTAAAGTCATCATAAGCAGTAAAAGAGGTCCTTTTCTCGGTTTCCAAAGCCTTTTCTGTCGTCCAACCCCATCCGCTCTATGGAGTACTCCACTCAACTAGGTGGGTTGTCGGTGTGAAGAATTTTAGATGTTATAGACCATTTGAGAATAGTACTACGCGTCTATCCACCATCTCGCGTACTTGCAGCTTCAAGTACGAGTTGATTTCCTCGACTAAACTTCTGACGAAGACACGCTCAAGATTTCTATTTTGATATCAACAAGCGCTAGCACAAGCCTTCTTTTCACCAAACGTTACGACCATGGAGCGATATCCGCCCAACGAGGGCGCCAATGGCTGCTTCCCCGAAATTTATTCGACCCGCTCGTCTGTCTCGGTGGCCAGCTCTCAGCCAACATCTGGTGCCTCGGAGGCGACACCACAACCTAAAGTGATTAGATCCCACACTGGAACCAATCCCCTATCACCATTAGAACGCGATTTCCAGGGATCATCGGAGGAGCTCGATGTTGCTACGCAACTTGGGAAGAGGGCACCACCGCGGTCGCTCCATGACAATATCAGGCGTGCGGCAAATATGAACTACAGCACGGCACCTGAGGCAGCTGAGGTGAAGGCCAAGAAATTGGCAGATGCGAAGAAGGAACTGCTTGCTTTGGCGGCACGGCCGTAGAGCCAGTGTGCGGAGTTTCGACGGCTTCTTTTCAAGTAAGCTAAGATGTAACCACCTCCAAACCGGATCGGCAATGGCTATGGGTGCACACATTATACCTATGGGATTGATACTGGCAGGTGAGCTGGCTAGGACTCGGCCTTGGTCCATGGCCCTCGAGATGTCAAACATTAACGGGCGGGCATTCAGTGGACAGTACACATCCATACTCAGCGGGATAGGGCACAATGTTTGATACGATATCCATGCCCACTTCCCAATACCGTTTCGGCATGTGCGAAACAAGCACTCCAACATCCATATCTTTCTAGTGGAACCGAGACGCCAAAGTGAAGCTGTACGTGACTGTTGCGATGAACGACACAACGTTAAGCAGCGAGGAGAGCCCGTGTAGCTGCCCGAAATTCTTGTTAAGTGCAACCATCTCCTGGGAGTGCGGTGGTGCATCCCAACTCTGCTTGCCGTCCTTCTTCTCTATCACAAGCACACCATAGTCAGCAATCGTCCTGTGCACGTTAACCTTTCCAGAGTTTCTCCACGACTCACCCTGCTGTCTGCGCTTGGCCGTAACCGCATTCGTTGCCGGTAGGAGATATGCCCAGTTGATCAACCCCGTCACAAATACTGTCGCCAGTGGTGCCAGCACGCTCCATCGATTCGTCTCGTCCAGCACGCCGCTGATACCACTGCGGGTGATTCGGGTCGCCGGGTACGTTACGGCCAACGCGACAGGGATGACGGTCTGCATGCCAAAGTAGGCAGGAAAGATAGCACGCTGGAGAAGACCGAACTGGGGGCGTTCCAGCACCTTGAATGAAGCTATAGCATTGATGAAGGTCTACCAACGTCAGACACAGTTTGTGACAAATGATGGTCCCGAAAATGTGGCGCGAGGGCAAGCCTACTTACATGGAAGAACTGAGTACCTAGGAGAGTACCGTAGCTGTTTCAAGTCAATTTCACCGCTGACTTATCGCATTCTTGACAGGAACGTACGAGAGGATGTGGTATGGAACTGGTGAGAAGATCAGAGATTCACCCATCTTGTTTGCTTTCAAGTAAGTACTGCTTGATACCAGAGTATTGAGATTTCTGGGGTGATCTAAATGTATCAAAGACCACTCTGGAAATTTCAACGTGGATGATGGGTAGTTGGCCTCGGCAATAGCATCATTGATATTCAAAAACGGACTAGACCCTGCTCATGTCGCCGCTTAGCTGACCCTGGTGCAGCCTGGTGCAGGGAGCTCAAGCTGCTCATCCACCTGTGCTGAAACCTTGAAGGAGCTTGGGCCAACCGTTGGAGGTGAATGAATGCACTTAAGCGAAGGTGTGACTTCGTGCCTAATTCGCGTATCTGACCCCACTCTCATTCCAACCATGTCGTGTCGTTCCCTGGCCGCGACTGCCTAAAAGTAGTTGTTACCTCATAAGTTGAGTGGTCGGGTCTCAGTCACGAAGTAAATATCCTGAAGTACTTCGGAGTTCAGTCTCAAGATGAGCTCGGCCTTGGCTTGCTAAATTATCATATTTCCCTCAATTTCACCACTAAATACAAGCAAGCAAGCATGGCGGATAAGGAGGCTACAGTTTACATCGTCGATCTCGGATCGTCAATGGGAGACTGCCACAACGGACGGACCGAGTCGGATCTGGACTGGAGCATGCGATACGCGTGGGATAAGATTTCCGCTACTGTGGCCGCATCAAGGAAAACGTGGAACATCGGTGTCATTGGTGTGCGGACAGATGAGACAGTCAATCCCTTGGCCGAGGATGATGGTTACAACAACATATCCGTCTTGCAGGAACTTGGTCCCATGAACATGACAGCCATGGAAAGCCTCCAGTCCAAGATCAAGCCCAGTGGAACAAGCTGTGGAGACTCCGTATCCGCAATCGTCGTTGCCATTCAGATGATTGAGAAGCTTACCAAAAAACTGAAGTACAAGCGCAACATCATCTTAATTACCGACGGCGAGGCCCCAGTCGATCCAGATGATGATAACTTGAATGACATAGCCGATAAAATCAAGGACACGCAAATCCAGCTTACCGTCCTGTACGTGGTGCACCCTCTTCGGGTTTATACGACTTCTAACAAAGTTATAGGGGCGTGGATTTTGACGACTCCGAGTTTGGCATCAAGGAGGAAGACAAAACAGCACAGAAGGCTACCAATGAGAGGCTTCTGCGGCAGTTGGCTGGCAGGTCCGGTGGCAATTTCGGCACCATAGCAGAGGCCATTGCTGAGCTCGATATACCCAGATTAAAACAGACCAGACCGTTCAAGTCGTATGACGGGCCTCTCACTCTTGGAGACCCCCAGGTGGACCCGAGGGCTATGAGTATCAGCGTTGAGCGATACTTCAAGACGCACAAGCAGGCTCCTCCTCCAGCTAGCAACGTTATCCTCAAGACCGACCATGCGAGTGGTTCTCAGTCGGCACAAACCAGGGACGTGGACAGAATGCAGGGTGTCGAACCTACTGGAGGTGCATTTGCCTCAGTGAAGAACGCACGTGCTTACAAGGTCAATGACCCTGACACTCCGGGAGGCAAGAAAGACGTAGAATTCGATTGTCTGGCCAAGGGATACCAATACGGCAGCACCGCTGTTCATATTAGTGAGTCCGAATTCAACATCACTAAGATCGAGACCGCCAAGTGCTTCACTATAGTCGGATTCATACACCAAGACAAGGTAGGGGTTCACACTGAAGGCGCGGTAGAGGCTCGGCATGCGCTAACTGCAAGCAGTACGGCCCATTTCTCAACATGGGATCTACGGGCTTGACAGTAGCCCAGAAGCTCAACGACGCTGCGGCCATGAAGCTGTCCTCATTGATTCACTCTCTTCACGAACTGGAGTCGTATGCTGTAGCCCGAATTGTGACTAAGGATGGGAAAGAGCCTCAGTTGCTTCTTCTTGCCCCGTACATTGATGTCGACTTCGAATGCCTGTACGACATACCTCTCCCTTTCGCGGAAGATGTTCGCAGTTATCACTTTCCTCCTCTGGACAAGGTCATTACGGTGGCCGGTGCCACACTCACCAAGCATCGGCATCTTCCCACGCAAGATCTGATCGAGACGATGAGCGAGTACGTGGATGCGATGGACATATCGACGTTCGGTTTGGATGATGAAGGGTCAGTTTAACAATCAAGACACCGTGAGCCGTGCTGATGAGTGCAAGCCAACGGACGCAAGAATACGCACCCGTAGAGGATGTTTACTGCCCACCGGTCCATCGCATAAACCAAGTCGTTCGCCACCGTGTAATATATGCTGACCAGCCCGTACCACCTATTCCGCCGATCCTTCTGAAGTACGCTCAACCCAACCGAAACTTGGTCGAGAAAGCCAGGTCGGCGCTTGAGGATTTGATCGAGGTAGCCGAAGTTAAGCAAGGCGAGTAAATGGCGAGTCCACAATACGAAATCCCACTGCTAATGTTGTGTCAGTTCCACCCAAGGCCAAGGGGAAACGTCAACGGGATGCCATCAAACCAATCTCTGGTCTTGATGTAGATGCCCTTCTCCAGACACCTGAGAACAAGCGCACCAAGATAGATCCCAACAACGCTGTTCCAGAGTTCAAGCAGATGGTGGACAATGCCGAGGATATCAAGACATTTGAGGAAGCAACAAAGCAGATAGGGCATATCATTCGCCAACTTATTACAGACAGCCTTGGGGACGTTAACTATGACCGCGCCATAGAAGTGATGGGTGTGCTCAGAGAGAGCTTGATCAACATCGAGGAACCTGGCTTCTACAACTCTTTTATCAAGGACCTCAAGAAGCGGTTGCTATCCGGAGAGCTGGGGGGCGACCGACGCGAGCTATGGTGGCAGGTGAAAGGGGCAAAGCTCGGATTGATTGATCAGAATATGTCGGATGTGTCGAAGGTCACGCCTGAAGAGGTAGCCGAATTCTACAAGAAGTAATATCCCTTGTAGATTTCGCCCGGTGCGGGACGGGACGATATGGGTAGGGCTGGCGTCTCAGGGCCCCGAATGTATGTCTTGACAGTGTAGGATCAGTGCTAATTTTCCGCATGGCGGAAGTCCCTATGCTCAAAGCAAAACATGAGTATTATAGCAAGGGCATAGTGTACGGCCATGTCCGATGAATCGGGGTGTCAAATCCTACAGAGCATGATTTACGTCGGCTTGGTTGAATTGTCTATCATGTGAGAGTTACAAACCATCCATTTGAAATGGCTCGGGGGCGAAGATTGGCCACCAAAGTAAATCTCCGACTTCCAGTGAGTGAGACATAAAATAGGGCCAAGTATCAGCAAATATACCAGTCTTGAAACTTCAGTTACGACGGCCAGAAGACACTAACCCCCTTGTTTTTGTTCCAGTATCCTGCTTCCTTGGGTGGATGTAGGAAACGGATGCAAACAGCTAACGTTCTTGAGTAACAACAACTCTGGAGCTGCTAGGTTGTTCATTACTTAACTACCGTGTATATGCCTCAACCCAGTTTAGTAGCTTTCATACTGCATTGAAGAATATTAGTTGGAAAAGTCGGGGTTACCCAGAGGAGGAACTTAATTGTGCTCAATGGTCGGCTAGTATACGTGGTTGCACTTCATCAAACGCACTAGGAAGTCAGTGTACCAGGCGGAATGCCCCTTGCACCTATCTTCTTCGTCAACAAGCCTCAGTGTGCAGTCATTCCTGGATCCGAAGAGTAAAGAATTTTCATAAGTATTTGCCGGGGGATGTCTCGGATCCCCAATTACCACTGTTAGATGCAGAAATTCCAACTTTTTGCAGCTCTCGCCATACGAAAGTCGAGCGTTTGCATGTGCGCTTGCCTAACAACGCAGGAGCCCCAGTCCCCGAGAGGAATAATTCACTTCTAGGTGCGATTGATCCTCAAATGACTACCCGCCTCTGATCCCCCCTTGCTCACTTTTTATTAGTGGTCACTTCAACCATACGGCAGCCTCCCGGGTATCGACCACTCTGCAATCGCGGAATTTGGCTAGTTATTTTAAATTACCCTGTCGTCTTTGCAGCTTGTCTCTGCTTGACTACTCCACAAACGCATTTTCGCCACGATACAGTAAAATTGGGTTCTGAACAAGCTGGTAACCATGGTCAGTGCTGGCAAAGACATCGAGTCTCGCATGAGGCGCATTCAAATTTCGGATGAGGCTGGCGCCCCTGCCACAGCGGACGAAAACGAACCTCCTCCTTGGGTGGATGCTATCAAGCGACCCCGAGATCCCACGATAAAGCTCCGGGATGATTTCGATAGCGATGAGGAGGAGGATATGATTATGTTGCCCAAGTTACAGCCACGGGTTCAATATCATCTTAGTAAGTGACTCCCGACACCATATCACCTCATCCTCACATTCGGCCTCTGACGCTTCTTCCCTTAGCTAGTGGTCAGAACCAGCAGTCTCTGCCTATGGTAAACGTCAGAAGCCCGTTCGAGCCTTTCCATCTCAAGATGCATGAAGTCTCCGAGCCAGGACTCTTATTGTGTCCCTTCAAGCTTGCTGAGCAGTACCCCTGGAGATATATCAGCAGGGAAAAACAGGGCGAGGTGATAATGCACTAAAGACTCCGATTTTTAGTCCTTGCTAACCATATAGGAAGGTGGGAGCATTCTTCCAGTCTAACATATTCACCAACCGAGTTTGGGACATGTGGGTCGTCGCTTTCCTCTCCCTTTCGAGCTGATATCGCGTATACTCACAAGGCCAAGGTTCTATATTCATGACCCTTATGGTCGAAGAAATCCATTAATATTTGTCCCTTCCATCCAGTTTGAGCAGTTCCTGGAGATAGTCAACAGCCGGCTGCAGGTGAACCCGAAGATCACCTGCGGAGCTCTCTCTGAGCGATTCTATGTCACCTTTGGTGAATTTGGCACCCCACGCCCGCGATTCCTTGGCCGCATCAACAATGAGGGCACGTACGAGATGTTGAAGACCACGCTGGGTGTGCCCCAAAATGATCTAAGCCAACTCGACGCGAGTAATGTTCAGTTCTTCAAAGACAAATTTGATGGCATTTACAACACCCTGCGGGACTCCAAGAAGAAGAAAAACCCGGGGCTAGAGAGACTCAAGAAGACGCTAAAACAAAAGGCATGGGGTTCCATCATCAAGCGCGTGCAACGATATCTTGGCCTTCGGATCCGCACTGCGTATACGGAATCAGCAGGTAAGCCCGAAAGTGGCCGTAAAATACATTCATTGGTGGGCTGATTAATAAAAATGCAGACGCTTTCGGTGTAGATTGGGATATCCACAAGCGACCTCCATTCAAAACTGAGTCTTCGGTACGCTTTGTCTGCGTCGACGTCGAAGCATATGAGCGTAACAACAATATCGTCACGGAAGTTGGTATTGCTATCCTAGATACACAAAAAATTGTCGATACGGCACCGGGAGACAAGGGCGAGGACTGGTTCAAGCTGATAGAAGCCCATCACCTTCGCGTCAAAGAGCGTTCATACATGGTGAACCAAGAGTTCGTACGAGGCTGTCCTGATTCGTTTCATTTTGGGTATGAGAGCCCCTAAATGGTGAAGATGCGTAACTAAATTAAGCACAGCACCCCTGAATTTGTCGCTGAGAGCGAGCTATCGCGTTGTCTTGCAGAGATCATCGGTGAGCCCAACGCAGACGACCAAAGCCCCGTCGTCATGGTGGGCCATGATGTCAGTATCGATCTTCGATACCTGAAGAATGCCGGCTACAATATCTGGATCCTTCCCCAGTACCTTGATGAGATTGATACCCAGCTCATGTTCCAACGTCTCCAGATGGTGAGCCAAGGCCGCAGCCTTGAGCTTGTCTGCAGTGAATTGGGCATTCCCGGTTGCAATTTCCACAACGCCGGCAACGACGCAGTCTACACACTGCGGGCCATGATTGCCATGGCCATCTCCAAAAAGCGTGGAGGCCTCCCAGCAGGGTCAATGCCTTGGAGCCCTCGCGACATGCCCAAGTGAGCGGGCACACTTCTGCTACCCAGTCCTACCATACATGCTAACCTAGTCATGTCAGAGTGGCCGATTGGACGGATGGAGAGGATGATGATGGAGGTCTCCCGATGAGGTCTGAGGAACCGGCTGAGGCTCGTAAGTGCTAGAGTCTCATGTGGGATGGAACATGGCTAACGTCAAACTCTCTAGCAAAATCATCCCGGGCGGTTGTCCGAGATGTACACGCATCACAGCAATGGTAAGAGGACTCGATGGGACATACGTATTTGCCATACCACCGTAACTACGGAAAGACGCCAGACACTTTGCAATATAAGGCAGCGAGCGGCACTTCATAGCGTAATAGGTCAAAATCCACGCCTGTATTGATGGCATTTCATGTCTAACTCGCTGTTGGGGCTTCCCTTAGAACGCCGAGCACAAACTAAACCATGAGCCTACCGCGTACTTGCTCTCTGCACCCTTGCCACTAGGTTAGGGAGACCAATATTGACAGTGACAGCTGTACCTTCTGCTGCAAACATTGCTGCAGATGTGATTGCGTTGTTGCTTCCATCGGCATGATGCAATGGCGGTAGTGCCAAGATTCTTACGTATCAGCCTTTGACAATCTTTTGGTCGGTTCAATTCCTTGTATCATTCCAAATCCTCTTTTGTCGAAGCAGAGTTGGGACAAAGAGGCCATTATGTATGGAGGACCCCATCAATACTTATTTGGTGCTTCATAGCCATGGGTGGCAATGGTATTGTAATTGAAATGTTTTGCTGAGGTATATTATGCTCTTGAATTGTTCCCAGCTCACCGTCATCAGACCTCACAGAAATCCATTGCAATAGTACTCAAGTAAATTCCAGCCGTCCAGTATTTCGAGATTTTTCGCCTTCGGCTCCTACGAGAACGCGGCACAGGTTTCAGACCTTCAGTACCATGGTGACTTCCCGTATGACTAGGGGCGTACACCGGCATCAGCAGTTGGGTGAGAGTGTGGGTTTCGTGCATTCATTAGAAGCTGCCAGTTGCAAGGTTTCCCAGTTGTACCAATTATGCAAAAGCTCCGAGCGACGCTTAATGCGCCAGGATTTAAATATAGATCGAGCTCCCATTACGAGGCTGGGACGTCCGCCTTGGATGTACTTGAGGATGTGGAACAAAAGGATCGCAACAGTTTCTTTGGGGGTCATTTGGCGGCAAATGTGTAACAGTTTGGAAGTGAGCGCAGTTACGGCCTCGTGCTCAGAATTATCCAGAATGGCATACAGCCGCGCCGTCTCATTCTTTGGTCTGATCTGACCACGCGGGATAGTTGGGAGGTGTGGATGTCATTCAACGGCAATTACACCGAGTCAGTGTTCAGTATGGGACGACAGTTTTCAGGATTGTTTCCATATTACTCACCGTATATCGACGAAGTCAGGGATGAGGGAGAGAGCATTGGAGACGTAAACCAATATGAGTCTGACTACAACAACTGAAGGGACAATAACCCGTCGGACGACAGCTCTTCGGACATCAGCTAGGTAGAAGATGAGCAAGCAGAGGAAGATCTGGGGAATTTACAGCAGTGTTTTATACTGCGGCCCGTTTCTCTCCTCCTTCTGTCTCCTTCAGCCTCCATCACGCGGAAATTGACTATTTTGTTCACTTTCCTGGCCGCCTTACTCCTAGGTCTAGCTTACCAGGCAGCATCCTAGCATTTCAACTTTCTATACTTCTTCCTACTAGTTGCCTTGCAGTTTCTTCCCGTCGGACCTCATCACACACACCCCAGTCCCGAGTGCTAGAACAGAAGCCGCTTCGTACTACCGTCTTATTTTTTCTTGCCTTATGAGCCCTCTAGGGCGGTATTCCGGCCACAGCTTTGTGTACCTAGGCCTGGCTTGCTAGAGTATCTAATTCATAGACGCCAAGGTTGTGTTACAAATAAAGGAACAAATGAGTGCTTGCTGTATTAATACCATGAAGGGGACGGCCTATGGTTAACCAAATAGACGACAAATTTGACCTTTGGAGCCAAATTATTGCGACCTGATCACACAGACCTTTCAGCACGTTATTTCAAACCCTTATGGCTATTGAGGCTGTCGGGACCACTGCGTAGGGTTGGCCCCTAACCATAACCTTAACAGGTTGTGACCGCGCGACTCGATGATACATATGCTGCTGCTGCTCCTCCTTGTGACTTTGTCTCAGAAATTATTATTATTATTATTATTATTATTAAATACGCCGTAGGCTCGAGGCCCCCCGTACCTCTACCAGTACTCCCGTATGTCAAACCGTGCCCTAATGGCTGGACTAAATACATACGCTGCGTCGTCGGTTCGCCCTATTGGTGACTGCGTTGCGTTCACTACCATACTACGTTGGTTCTCAACCTACCAACTAAGTCCCCCCTGAGAAGATCGATGCTATCTAGGCCTTGAAGCTGTCCGACCCGTCCCTAGCAGCCACCTTACAATAGTCTCACTAACTACTGGTTCTCCTGTTGCCGTTGCGAGGTCTCTGCGAGAGTATAGTGGCCGTGGTTCGATAGCGGCCCGTAATCGTTCCCTCGGTCCTTCCAACAGCCCGCAAAAGAGGATTACGTGCTCTGCCGTCTCAGGGGCGTCGCCACAGCGGCATAGCGGCGAGTACACGCCAAAAGCCCCTGTCTTGAATAAGAAGGCTGCTAGTCCTATTTTTTCCGTCCTGATCTGGCACAGCGTAGACGCCTCCAGTCGGTTCAGGCCGAAATACTTGCCTCCTTTCGGTATCTGCATCGAAGGGCCCTCCGGTTCCTCAGCGATAGCGCGTCGCTGGCGATCGTGATGCTCTGCTCCGGTGAGCCATCTCTTCCTCCAGTGGCCGAGGAGGGCAGCCGGGACCTCCTTTTCCTCACTCATCCACTCGGAGCCCCGGGCCTCCTCCATAGTGTACCCTGCCGGTCGGAGTAGCTGCGACGCCTGCTTCCTCTTCGCCGGCCTATCCTGCCGGAGTATATGTGACGATTTAGCGCTCGCGCTGCGAAGCAGATTTCTCTTCCCGCTAAGCCGTAGCCGTTCTTCAAACTTAGCAGCCCGGGCACTAAGATAGAGGTCTAGTGGCGGGATTGCTGCTTCTGCTTCCAGGTGGCGAACCGGCGTCGCTTTGTGGGCGCCACAGACTACCCGGAGGCACTCGTTCTGTATCCCCATCAGGCTCTTAGCTGGCCCTGCCGGTTCCTCACTTATAGTATGCCACGCAGTCGCCCCGAAGGCGATCGCGCTACGGATAACCACCGTATATAACAGCCTCGCCCGTATAAGATCGCAGCCCCACGACATATTGACTAGCTTTGTCAGGGCTAGCTTTTGAGTTGCCATTTTTGTTTTAACACGCTCAACATGGGCGTGCCACGTCAGTTTGCGGTCGAACCAGACTCCTAGGAACCTCGCTGAGACTACCAGCGACACTGTGGCGTCCCCAAGGCGAATACTTTGCGGCAAGGGCTCTCGGGCCCTAGTAAAGTGCATTAGCTCACTCTTGTCAGGGGCGAACTCCATCCCGTGCCTCACTGCCCACCGCTGACACGTAGCCCATGCGCCCTCCAACCGGCGGCAGGTCGTGTCTGGATCGGTGCCGACGCTTAGCAGGTTCGTGTCGTCCGCGAACCCGACTACTAAAAGTAGTGGGTGCTGCTCCGCTAGCTCCTCGTAAAGCGTTGAAATGTATAATATAAACAGTATCGGGGATAGCGGTGACCCCTGGGGGACGCCAGCTCGTAGGGGGATTGGCTCTGACTCCTTGCCATCGAACCGGAGGCGTACCGTCCTATCCTTCACGAAGCTGCGTACCCACTCCTGAACCCACTCCGGGTAGCCTTTCCGGGCTAATATGGAAATCAGCCGTCTGTAATTGACCGTATCTAATGCCCCCTTGATGTCCAGCTGTAGCAGCGAGGCGATGCTCCCGCGTCTCCACGCCGTATAGACCACGTCCTCAACTATACGTATTGCCAGTTCGGTGGACCTCCCAGCGCGGTTACCCATTTGGCCATTTGGTAGTAGGCCGGCCGCCTCAGCTACTTTGGTGATACGCTGCCTCATCGCCGTCTATATTAATTTCCCTACCGTGCTAAGCAGGGCAATGGGGCGCCAGCCGCCAGGGGTCTGCTTCTGAGCTGTCGTTTTATTAGGCTAGGGATAACAACCACCTTCGCTGAGCGGAAGCGCTCCGGGTAGTACCCTAGCCTAAAGCTAGCTGTTGCCAGATCCGCTAGGATCTCCCATAGGGGTTCACCGCAGGCCTTTAGCAGGCCAGTGGGGATCAGGTCGTCGCCGGGAGCCTTCCAAGCAGCCGTTCCTTTGATGATAGACTCGATATCCATTGTGTTCACCTCCCTAGGGACGTTCAGCTCTGGTCTCGTTTGTAATAGGCCGCGATCGAGGTCCGATAGATCTATACACGGGTCTGGGAAGAACCTCTCAGCTAGTAATTTTGCCTTCTCGTCATGTGTACGTGCCGTAAGCGTGTCGCCGGCGTCCCTCCGGAGATCTGGCAACCCGTGGGCCTCAGGGGGGGCCCACCTCCGTAGCCTGGCCCACCTCCGCAGTGCCCACAGGCTTTTGTGATCCTTCGCCGTCCCCTCGAGCTTCTCGTGCCAGCTACGCGTCTGCGCTTCGCTGATTTCGAGCCGTTGTTTTTGGCCGGCTCTTGTATATTCGTCCCAGTTGGTGTGCGACCTTGCCTGGAGGTAGTCCCGCCGTCGTCTCTTCGTGTCAGCGCAAGCCTTGCTAACCTGCGGGCACCACCACGGGACCCCAGCGCCTCGGCCAACGGTGCGTCTCGGGACCGCCACGTCGGCGATCTCTTGGAGGTTCCGGATAACCCAGTCAACAGCCTGGTCCAACTCCGTTATCGTCTCAACCGGCAAATAATTCATAAATCTCTGGCTTGATTCGGCTACGATGAGCCACTTATCCGCCATCGCCCAGTTCCACCCTTCGACACTGCGGCGGCCCTCCTTGACTGCTTCCCCGTTGGATAT